TTTTTAGAGTGTCTAAAGAAATGAAACGGCTGATGAATGTTTGAATGAATGGAATGGCCGAGTGAAGACAAGCGGAAAGAACTTAATCGATCGCCGGCCGAACGTGATGGCGAGAACTTAATCAATCGCCATCAGCCAAACACAATGGCAAGAATTTAATCGATCGCCACTGAAACGTGATAGCAAGAATTTAATCAATTGCCATCAGCCAAGTAATGACAAGAATTTAATCAATTGTCACTACGATTCAATGGCAAGAATTTAATCAATTGCCATTGAATTGAAGGCCTAACTAAAATTACGTAATTAAAATTGGCATAATTGAAATTGAAAGAAAGTAAATGGCTAAATCGAAATAGTTGACAATGATCTAATCAATTGCCATTAAATTGAAATAAAGAAATTGATAGGAAAAATGACGTAGAGTCAATTGAAAACATTTTTAGTTGAAATGCATGTTTTGTGGTGGTGCTGGATGACTTGGAATGGAATACAATACTTCTATTTATAGAAGTTCTATCTCAACTTATTTTCCTAATTAATTGCTAGAAAATCTCTTTGCTCCTTGATTTTCTTCACTTTATTACTCAAACTAAACCACGTTCCAGTAGTCTTTTGCGTCTCGTCTCTTCTTGCTTCAATAGGAAAGTCCTTGCTGAAATCTCTCCTTGATCCAGTCAAATGCAAGTTGTCGAGAAATATGCTGAAAAGTTGCTGGAAAGTTGCTGGAAAGTTGCTGGAAAGTTGCTAACTTTTAGCAACTCCTTTACTTAAGTTAGGCTGAAAACTTCCCTTAAATGGCTGGAAGACCATTTATAGCTTTTGCCCAAATTATCCCTCACGTGACGGCCTCTCCTTTGAATTCCTTATTCCTTTGCAACGAAATTCCTACTTCATAGGAATCTCATTCCAACTAAATCTCTTCTATCCAAACTAAAATAATATATTTGAATTAACTCAAATATTAATTACCAAATTTCAGCAACAACCTTATTGGATAAGGTGGCTAAATTCCAAGATTTTCTCCTCTTGTTTCTCAATTGGCCGACTTTTCTTGAAACCATACTAAACAGGTGTCGGCCCATCACTGGTCCACATCACCACTGAGGTGGTTGCCAAGTTTTGGTGCCAACAAATGCCCCCTGAATTTCAAATGCTTTTATCACTTATGATACGAAGCGTTTGGAATTTGAATCGGCCTAAAATTGTAATTCAAATTTTGGTAATAAATTTTTTTTCCAACCACCTGCTTTAATGGTTATCTTTCCCAATTAAAGCGGTGACTACACTAATCCGCTATTACATCCAGCAAGTATTTAGCTTGATGTCCTCTAATCCCTAAAATCATTCTTCTTCCCTTAAACTTTCTATCTCTGAAATTCTTTCTCGGCAAAATCGTTCCTGACGTCTTCTATGGCTCCTAAGAAAACTAAATCAACTGATTCCACCTCTATCCCTCAACCTTTCGATCCTTCAACTCATGGCAACATCATAGAAAAATCCCTAAAAACTCTATCTCCTTACAAATACTGTCTCAATACCCTTATCGATCTTCGTACTGACTTCAAAGGCTTAGGTCCTGCTTTCCTTGACGAAGCTCCTTCATCAATCTCACCTTTCAATCCTTCGGCCGACGTTCTTCCATTCCTTCAAACCTTCCCTCCTAATGAAAATGGCAGTTTGCCATACTTTCATTTTAGAACATGGCATAGTCCAAATGACGCTTGGATTAATTGGGTCGACCGGGTTGGAGCTGTGAAAGGAGAAGTATGGAAGGATTGTGGCATATATAATGCCATTCAGCTAAGTAAAACTAACATCGCCCAAGACAGAGCCTTGATGATAGCAACCATGTTTAATTGGTCGACCACCACCAACTCCTTACACTTGAAGTGTGGTATGATGGCTCCAACCATTCAAGACGTGTGCTATCTAACCAGCCTCAAACCCTTTCGGATTGATGTAAGTACCTTATTGGTAGAAGAGGATTCTCCTTTCATCTTCCCTTCAAAGCAAACTGGAACCAAGTCATCTGAATCCTCTTATGGCAAGTACTTAACTTCTACCATGGATCCTCACGTCCCTGTGAATGATGCTGAACATATTGCCTTCTTGTTGGCCTGGCTGAACAAGTTTCTTTTATGTGTACCGGCCTTTCAAGTCACAGAGGATTTCATTCATGTGGCCGTTGCCCTTTCAAGAGGTAAACACCTTGCTCTAGCTCCCTTGGTGCTTTCTCATTTATATAGAGGGATTTATGACTTGCTTACCTCCAACTTCGGACGCTATGGTGGTCCCCTCTGGTTATTTCAAATTTGGCTTCAAGTGTACTTTCCTGAGCTCGGACCTGTGGTGAGGCCTTCGGCCAATGACCCATTACTTTCTGTAAGTTACGCATCGGCCGTACCTAAATCCCATTCGTTTGGAGATTGCTTCAATTTCTTTTACTCCGGTTGTGAACAGAGGACTATCAGCCAATTCCTTCCATTTTCTCATTGCTCACAAGCACCTCGATGGCTGACTCCTCCTCAAGGAGTGTCTACCAAAAAATCAGCTGATAAGCATTCGGCCATGTGGGCTAGTTTCTTACTTTCAAGAGACCTTCACTTCAACACTGGCCCTCTAGGCACAGTAAACTCAAATGTTGGAGTTGAGTTCTACAATCCAAACCAACTTGCTAGGCAATTTGGTCTGACTCAAATGATCCCCATGCCCCCTTATTTCTCTTTCAACAAAAACTTCCATAGGCGTGTGGTATTTCCAGATGACTCCTATGTAAAGAACGTGTCCTCCCGGTTCTCAAATCTGCAAGCCGGATTCTAATTCCAACCCTTCATCAAGAACCCAGCCTCAGATTCTAGTTTTGATCAATGGTGGTCTTCTTACATTACTTCTACAAGGACGGCTGATAGCCAGTCACTTGTTGTTAAAATATTGGAATCTTTCAAGTTCATATCTGTGGCCTTTGAAGGGGCATTCGTAATTTCCCGGGCCGTTACCCCAAAGAAGATGCCTCAAAAAGATCCTCCCAAAGGTAAAAAACAAACGGTTATGAAACTCCCTTTCTCTCAGCCAGCAGATGCTCCAACAAGGTCCAATAAAGAGAGAAAAGCTAAGGCCAAAGCCACTGCCAGCCTTCTCAAGGGTACGATCTTCCTTTACTTGCATATATATATATATATATATTTTTTTTTTTTTAAAAAAAAAAAAACTTTTAATTGAATTTCTCTTACCCCCCCCCCCCTTTTTTTTACGCAACTTTATCAGCCTCGCCTAATCCAGAAAACGTTGAGCCCCAAGATGATGAAATTTCCTCCAGCCAATCTCCTCAGCCTTCAATAACTGAATCAGCCATCATCCCTGATGTTCCTCCAATTCCTCCAAAGGTAAAAGTTTTTATTTATTAACATACGAAGATAATCATATCAGCCCAATTGTTAAAATACTTGGCCAATATTGATTTCTAATTCTCGGCCACCACTATTATTGGCCGAGACAAACTTTAATAAAGCTTCCATCTCCAGGGTAAAAGAAAGAAATCAACTGCTCATGGCACTTTAAAAAAGACAAGATTGAGCAAACGTAAGAAACATGAAGTAGAAGAAAATCTAGAAAGCCCTCATCCTATAGAAGACGTGGCCGATGATCCCGTAATTAATGTGGCTGACAATCCTTCTGATCATTCCTCAGATGGAAAAGAGGTAAAGATAACTGTACTTGAAATTTCCAAACTTTTCCAATCAATATGGTCCTTAATTTCTTCTCTTTTGCAGCAATCTCCTCTTCTTGACTTGGTCTATAGCCCCGTTAGAAATTTCAGCCCTCTGAAGGATTTTCATGATCCCATTGAGGTGCCCTTCAATGTTCAAGTCACTCCTGCTAAAACTTCATCCCAGGGAGATAGCACAGCGGTTCAGCCAGAATTTCCTCCTCCAGAAACTAGTCATCAGCCACTCTTAGTGACAGACATGGCCGAATTATCTAAGGTATTGACTATCTCATATCCCAAAAAAAAAAAAAAAATTAAGATCTAATCTTTCCTCATTTTGTCAGGTTGTGTATGAGAAAACTCAAATTGTTCCTTTATTTCCTCCACAAAAAGCTCCTGCTTCATCTCTACTGGCCTTGAGCAATTTCTTTAAGGATGTGGTGGCTTCAGTGACCGAAAAAAAAGAAAGTGAATCTTCTGGAGCCACTCCAGTCACTTCAGCCAATATCCCTATACAATCCTTAGAAGAGACCAAAAAATCTTTACTTGAGATCTTGAAAAGAGATGTTGCTGATCTTCCTAATTTTGAAAGTGAACTCACAGCAGTGCTTTCTACACTCAGCCAGTACTGACTTTCCGGTTGATCTTCAAGCCACTATTGCTACCTTTAAAGGCCAACTACCAACTCTGACCGATGATATTTTCCAGGCCAATGAAGCAATCAACCAATTCAACAAGAGTAAAAATAGGAAGGATACCCTTACTAACCAATTGTTAATTCAAGCTTCCTCCTTTAAAAGAGTGAATACAGAGTTCATCAGCCTTGAGGAAAGAGAACATGTCCTTCAGAAAGAGATCGACCAGATCCATGCTCGTAAGGCCATCTTGTCTGCTGAAGCTGCCACATTGCAGTTTGAAGCTCAAGACCTTGCTCACGAGCATGCAAATCTTCGTGGAGAATTACCTCAATTGGAAGAGTCAAAGAGGCAGGCCATGGTGGCCTTCAATCGGTCCTTAGTTATTTGGGCCGATTTCAAGGAAAAATTTGCAAGCGTATGAATTTTTTTTTTTATTTTATATTAGCTTCCTTTTGTGGCCATCTTAGTGTATGATCTTTAAATGATGTAATCTTTTACACTTCAATGAATAAATGGCCTCTTTTGTTACTCTAAACAAGTATCAACATTTATAGCAAGAAAAAATTTATTAAAATAGCCAAATCAGCCTAGAAAAATAGGCCGAATTTTATTACATAAAGGTACACATGGTCAGCCATAAGTACTGGCTAACACTAATTTTCCCTTTCAAAGATTGCCGGTACGTACCTCTTGAGGTACTTGCCATTAATGGGATAGTCATGTAATCGGCCACTGAAATACTTTAGCCTATATGCTCCTCCACTTAAGACTTGATGGACTAAGTATGGCCCTTCCCATTTTTGGGACCACTTCCCATATTTCCTATCGACTTTACCCACTGGCAAAACAACTTTCCAAACCAAATCTTCTTCAGCAAAAGACTTAGGTTTTACCCTCTTGTTGTAGATCCTCATCACCTTCTTCTTGTGAGCTATGATATGATCCAAGGCATCCCTTCTAACTTCATCCAAATCTTCCAATTCTACCAACATTGCTTGAGTATAATCAGCTGAAGTTAGATTATTTTGAAAAGCAACTCTGGCTGATTTAACCTTCATCTCCATAGGCAAAACAGCATCATGACCATAAGTTAACATGTATGGTGTAACTCCTGTGCCTGTTCTTTTTGAGTTCCTATAGGCCCATAAAGCTTCAGACAAAGTCTCATGCCACCTTCTTGGCTTATCTTTGATCATTTTTTCAATGATCTCTATTAAAATTTTGTTTGAAGATTTGGCCTGGCCATTTGCTTGAGCATAGTATGGCGTAGAGGCTGACATATGAATATTCATGTTGTGGCCGAATTGTAGTACATCAGTTGCCCTAAATACTGTTGCATTGTCTGAAACAAGTGTTTCTGGAATCCCAAATCTGTGGATGATGTTTTGTTCCATGAAATTAATCACTGTTTGCTGATCAACCGCTTTGCAAGCCTTGGCCTCAACCCATTTAGTAAAATAATCTGTGGCAACAATCACCCAGTGATGGCCTTCGCTTGATGGTGGATTAATTTTACCAATAAGGTCAAGGCCCCAACCTCTGAATGGCCAAAGTTTGATTATAGGCTGTAATTCTTTTGCTGGTACATTTTGAATCGGCCCGTGTCTTTGACAAGCTTGACAACCTTTTGAGTAATCTATGCAATCTTTTCTTATCCTCGGCCAATAATATCCATACCTGCGAATCAGCCATCTCATTTTAATCCCAGCTTGGTGAGCCCCACAGTTGCCTTCATGTACCTCGGCCATAACCTGAAGTGATTCCTCCTTGCTTATGCATTGTAGTAGGAGCCCATCTTCTAACCCTTTTCTGTATAGATCCCTATCTAGAAGCACAAAGTTGATCGCTTTTCTTTTAATACTTCTATCAGCCTTGATGTTTGGATTTCGAAGAAACATTATAAATGGTATCCTCCAGTCATCGTCGGCCAAATCTTCTACATCAATTGTCCAAGTATCAAACATAGTATTTCTCAATTCGGCCGATGGCAAAGATCTTCGTGTTATCTTTATCAACTGATCTTCTATTCCGGTTGGTACTCTTATTCCAGAGGCTGCTTGGGCCATGCTGTTGGCCTCCTTATTCTGCCCTCTCAGCCAGAACTTAAGTTGAACATTATCAAATTGATTAATTAATGAAGTGGCCAGAGAATGAAACGGCCTTAATTGCCAACTTAGGCACTTAAAATCTTCAGAAATTTGGCTAAGGACTAAGTTTGAATCTCCAAAAATCTTTACATCTCTAACAGCCATTTCAATTAAAATCTCCAGGCCGATTATAAGCACTTCATATTCGGCCTGATTATTTGAACATTTAAAATCTAAAAAAAAAGAGAATGAAACCTTTCTGCCAGCTGGCGAAATAATAACAATACCTGCTCCTGCTCCATCAGCCATGCTTGATCCATCAAACATCAAGATCCAAGGAGTTAAGAATATAGCTGATGACTCCAATTCATCATAAACCCATGGATCAATATCAGTTGAAGGATGATCGGCCAAAAAATCAGCCAGAACCCTTCCTTTTACTGATTTTTGTGGGACGTAGATAAAATTGAATTCCATCAAAGCCAAAGCCCACTTACCTATTCGGCCAGTGATCAATGGCCTTGATAGCATATACTTGATCACGTTAGTCTGACAAAGAATGTAAACATCAACAGGCCGCATGTATACTCTCAACTTCATGGCCGAATAGTACAAAGACAAACAAAGCTTCTCAATTGAGGAATATCTGCATTTTACATTAGTTAGTACTCTACTCAGGTAGTAGACAGCCTGTTCCTTTCCATGTTCATTGTCTTGTGCGAGCATACTACCAATTGATTCTTCTGCGGCCGATAAATAAAGCTTTAACGGCCACTTCTTTCTTGGAGGCATTACAACCGGGGGGTTTACCAAATACTCTTTTATTTTGTCAAAGGCCTTCTGATGGGATTCGTCCCAATGAAATTTCTCATGTGACTTTAATTTTACTAAAGTCGAAAAGACATGCACTCGGCTAGCATGGTTAGAAATAAATCTTCCAAGAAAACCTACCTGGCAGAGGAACCTTTGCACTTGTTTTTTGTTGGCTGGGGCCCTAGCATCTATAATAGCTTTGACCTTGTTCTGATCAACTTCAATACCTCGTTTATGTACCAAGAACCCCAAGAAATTCCCGGCTGAAACTCCAAATGCACACTTCAAGGGTTCATTTTCAATTTGTGAACCCTCATCCTTTCAAAGGCCCTTTTCAAGTGTTCCAAATGCTGTCTCTTGGCCGATGATTTCACAACTACATCATCTATATAAATTTCCATGAATCGGCCAATCATATCATGAAAGATAGAATTCATTGCCCTTTGATAAGTAGCCCCAGCATTTTTTAGGCCAAATGGCATCACAATCCACTCAAAAGTACCAATTGACCCAGGACATCTAAAAGCCGTTTTATGAACATCTTCCTCGGCTAAATAGATTTGATTATAACCTGAATGGCCGTCCATAAAAGACAATATTTCATGCTTAGCGGCTGAATCAATAAGTTGATCGGCCACAGGCATTGGATATTCATCTTTTGGAGTGGCATTATTTAAATTGTGAAAATCCACACAAACTCTAAGTTTGCCATTCTTCTTCATTACCGGAACAACATTAGACAGCCATTCAACATACCTAACTGTTCGAATAAATCCTGCCTTAAGAAGTCTCTCAATTTCTTCTTTAATTTTGAGCATTACTTCCGAAGACATCCTTCTTGGTGGTTGTTTATATGGCTGAAAATCTTTCTTGATCGGTAATCTATGTTCTACCAATTTTCTAGACAGGCCAGGCATCTCTTCATAACTCCAAGCAAAGTAATCCTTATATTCATTTAATAATTTAATCAAATCGGCCTGGAATTTAGGCTCAAGCAAAGCACTAACAAATAATGGCCGATTATCTTTTTTAGTACCAACATTTATTTCCAATAAAGGATCTTGCACCTCTTCTTTATTATCTTCCATCCTGGAAGGGGCTGACTCCAAATCTTCAAGTTGGATTGCATCCAACTTTTCGAAACCTTCTTCAATTATATCGGCCGTGCTGGCCGATACCTCTTCATATAGCTGTTCTTCTCTGGCTAGTCTCTTCTCAGCCAGATATGCTTTCAGTCTTATGCAAGTGGCCCTGAAAGCTTGCCGCTTCTTTTCTTCATTGGTTTTGTGATCCATCAGTAACATCTTCAATGTCCTTGATGGTTGACCTGAAAATATCAATTTTCGGCCGAGCTGCTTCTGACAATAATTCTTTAATATCAGCATTAATTAAATTCTTCTTCATTGTTGCCGCTGCTGGTCGTCCCATCCTGTTAATGCCAACAAATTTGATAGGTACAACAGTTTCATCATAAAGTGCAGCCTCAGCCGAATACACCCTAGCTATAAAGGGTTTGTTATCGGCCTCAACAATTTTTACCTCATTTCCATCCCAAAAAATCAACATTTGATGCAAGGTTGATGGGATGCACATGTTAGGATGAATCCAATCTCGGCCTAAAAGGAGATTATAGGCCGCGGTTGAATCATTGATAAAGAAAGCCGTAAAGGATGTCTTACCGCCAATAGTAATTTCCAAAGGTAGAATACCTTTAGTGTTACTAGATCCTCCATTAAAACCACTGATGGCCACGTCGGTTGGAACTACATCATCTATGGTTTTACCCAATTTCTTCAAAGTAGTTGCTGGAATGACATTCACCACCGAACCATTGTCAACCAAAACCCTATTGATTGGCTGACCCTCAACCCATACTTTAACATACAACGGCCTTAACTGCTGTGTTATGGACAAAGGTGGTTTTTCGAAAATGATTTTATCGGCCCTAGATGGCTGATCCTGAGAGATCAATCCTATCCCGGCCGATGAACTTGTCGAATCGTTCTTAATTTCTGAAGATTCAGCCTTTTCTTCCTGCTTGGCTGACTCAACATCCCTGTTCATCGTTGGTTCTATCCTTGCTTCAAACACAGAAGGCAAAACAAATACCATGTTACAATTTACCTTATCCGGGAGAGAACCAAAACGAATTCTGTACTTGGCCGCATGCTTTGGATCCTGGTCTGGCTGATCATCTTTTTCTTCATAAAAGCATGCCTTATTCTCAAAGGATGTAGCGACCTCCATGTCTTCAGCCACCACTGGTTCATTTTTTCTTTCTAGTGGATCATGGTCGATCTTGTCTTCTTTCCTTTTGATTTCTGCATTTTTCCTTTGCATCCTCCTTTTTTGGGGACGTGTAGGAGGCTGCTTAGGAAACTTTGGGTGACTTACTCGAGTCCATCTGCCATGGTCAACCAAAGGAGGTCTAACCGTTCTTACACGGCTAGATTCTTCTCCTTTTTGAACCCATATTTCTGACTGAATTATTGGTTTCCTTTTGAAACTGGGATAAAAATGTTGTTCTGGCAGGACTCTATCGGCCACCGATGATCGAATGATTCTTACTGCCCTCGGCCCATTTTCTCTAAATATTGATCGATTGATTTCTTCGTGATTCTGTCTAGGCTGATGGCCTAACCTTTCATGGACACTGCGCTTTCTGGTTGATTGGAAATAGCCCCTCTTGGCTGAGTCATTCCTTCGGCCTTTGCAATTTGGACAACAACTATGGTTGATGAGGGCAATTTGAGCTTCTCTTAACTGAATTTCCAAGTCCTTAACTTTCTGCTCATCATTACTGGCCGATGAACTACCAAGAACTTTTGGTAATCTTTCCTGTCTACCATTATCAGCGGCTTTTTCAGTTGCCAGGCTGATTACATTGGTACTGACAATATTAGGAAATGGATCGCCATCGACCCCCATTACATCTGGCTTCTTTTCAGGGAATTTCAATACACCTTCATCGATAGATTTCTGTAATACATTTCTAAATACATAACAATTGTTAGTAGTATGATTCCATGAATTATGAAATTTGCAGAACTCTCTTCCTTTTAAATCATTGGTCGATGGTATATTGTGTCCTTTTGGCAAAACGATTTGTTTGTCCGCCAACAAATGATCAAAAATTTGTTCTATTTTGGCCAGATCAAACGTATAAACCTTACCAGTATCAGCCGTACCCTTCCTGGTCGATGAAGTCGATGGCTGAGTCCCACTGGTGGATACATTTGGTTTTGTTAAAGCGTCACATACATAAGGCTTCTTTAGAATGACTTCGGCTAAATTAACTTCAAAATCTTCCTCTTCAACCACATCAGTTGAATAAACTTTATAGTTGGGGTCCCTATAGTACGTACCTTTAGAGGAATTTTTTCGTTCTTTCTCCTCTTTGAGAACCAACTCATACCTGGTAGCTTTCTCGGCCAGGTCATACATGTCACGAAATGGAACTCCTTCAAACCTCTTCCGAAGTTCAAAATCAAGGCCGTTCAAAGCCAAACGAATGTACTCCTGCTCTAGAAGAGGTACACGACATCTTAATCTTGCTCTCCTGAATCTTGCAATGAATGTCTCGACCGATTCACTAGGCAATTGACTTAGCCTGGATAAATCGGCCAGAGTAGGTTCTGTCTCTGTATGGTAGAACTGATTATGGAATAATTCCTCCATCTGTGGCCAATTAAAAATAGAGTTAGGAGGTAAACGAATATACCATGAAAAAGCTGCCCCTGTCAAAGAGTTAGGAAAAAGTCTCAATTTCAACCACGGGCTAACACTGGCCTCTCCACATTGAACCGTGAATCGGCCAATGTGTTCCACGGTCGATTGATTCCCCTCTCCACTAAAGGTTACAAAGTCAGGGACTTTATATCCTCTAGGGAACTCAACTTGGTCTACCACTTCTGGATAAGGAGTTCTATAAATTGGTCGGCCAGCACCTCTAAGTTCCAGGCCATATTCTTCTGTGAGTAAATCAGCTAATTGTCTTCTATCTAACATGACTTGAGGTGGCTGATTTAATATTGGTGGTACCTGATTAAAAATTGGCAGCTGATTAGCCACTGGTTGATAGCAATTCGGCCAATCATGTGGCTGATTAGCCATATTCTGCCCCCCAAGCCCTACCTGTGGTGGCACATGAGTATACAGTGGGTACGGTGGCCTCCACCTGATCTGATTGCCCCCCGAGTTCAAAGGCATCCGAGGAGGGTTTGGTAGAATTACCTGTGGCTGCGAACCTACTACTGGTGGCTGATTAGAACCTGCCAACGTAGGCTGAGGATAGCTTTCTGCCCAGGTGAGTAGCGTATGAACCGGCTGACTTGATGTTGCAACTGGTTGGAGTGTCACTACTGGCGGCAATGGCTGTGATGTTTCAATGGCCCTCACTGGCCGAGCAGCTTGTGATAGATTCGGCTGAGAAGCCGATTCTTGATTGTTGGAGCTGCTAGCTTGAGTCGGCTTGTTCAAAATAAAGGCTGAGAGTTGGGACATATTTTCATGCAAGTCGTTGTAGCGTGCTCCCATCCTTCCCATTGCATCTACCAAGGAGCTAACCTGTGCCTGAAGTACGGCTAACTAATCAGTAGGACCTGCTGCAGAGTTCTCAGCCTGTACTAGCTGATCGCCTTCCTCCAAATCTTCATCAGTAGCCACGGCCTTAGAATTTTTTGTGAGCCGCGGCATATTTGCCTCTTTTATACACTCTAGTCGTGGTCCCACCGGGCGTGCCAAAACGTGTTCGCGCAGTTTTTGTTCCCTACGCCGGTCGATGGACTCTTCGCGGGCGTGCCAGAGTATTTGTACAAAATACCCAAAATATGTAATTGAACACTAGCCTATCCCTTTTTCCGATGGCTGACTCTCAAGCGATTGTGTGGGAGAGAGACTAGTAAGAACTCCCAGCAAGGTTCTTTTATGCCTTGTTTGTAGCAAGGACTTTTTAGAGTGTCTAAAGAAATACAACGGCT